GAAACTTAAACATTTATGCTCGGTGAACTTGAACTTTATACGTCAGCGCTCGGATCGACCGTGGAACGGCAAGTTTCTTTTTCGGAAGACCTGGAGTCTTTGTCCTGGAAAATACATCGGATTGATTTTCTCGCGACGTGAGAATCTTCCTTATAGTATATTTGTCATGACGTCATCGTGCAGATAGAGATTTTGTTTCGTCCGTCGACCGGGCCAGTAAGAAAGAAAGTCGGAGGCGAGGAAACAGCTTCCCTCCCTCGAAATTTCTTCTCGCCAAGAGTGACCAATCTCGTTTCTATATGTAGACGAGGGTGCAAAAGTTGGGTGACCAGCGACTTCGCCGACAAAACTTTTTTTCAAATTTCTTGAAGCGAGGCGATCGCGGAATTTTCGAATTGCACCGAGGAAGACGGGAAACCGTGTCGAGAAAATGTCAAGACGTCGTCAGACGGTCGATAGACGAGAGCGTGAACATCTAGAAGTAGCGTGGAGTGTACTATTAATCACGCCAGTCACGTGCGTGACGTGGATCGCGTGTACATGACGTTATTGTGAAAGTAATTCCGGCGGTTGCCAAATTCGACCCATTTGCCTGCACGGAAAAGGAATATTTCGAAATTTTATCATGATCCCAAACGAATTCGGACTTTCGAATATCACAAGAACCGATTTTACTTCGACGATCAAAGTTTTGCCACTCTTCGCAAAACGAGGCGTCGCGACGTAACGTCACGATAAATTCGTTCATGCGAGACAATAAAAAATCCTCGCTCATTCGTTCCTGTGTGATCGTGGATAAGCGTTGAACTAGAAAATAGAAGCTTCGATGAAACGACGAACTAAGAATCTATGAGATCAGTTAGGTACACAATATGCACGGACTAGCACGATCGTTGATGAATGAAAGAAGCGTGCGGGAGCGAAATTTCGTGAAACGGAGCGGTCCGCGCCGGATTCCATGCGGGTGACGAGTCGGGATATAGGTCAGAACGAACGTCGTCGTCGCTTCGAGTCATCGAGATTCCGCGAGAAAAAAAAGAAAGGGAACGACGACGACGACGACGACGACGACGACGACGACGAGGGGGCGAGAAGAATCGTCGGAACGACGTTCCCGGTTACGAGTTTTCATTTCGGTTCGCGGATCGTCATCGGCGACGAAGGATCGAGTAGGATCGATCTACCGAGATGGGATCCTCTCTCCGGTGATCCGGAAATATTCGTGTCACATCTGCACCGGATGCATCATTTCTCTCGGGCCGAGACGCGGTTCTCTCGATCGTTTCGAAGATGAAGAACAATCACGATTTCAGCGACGAACAGGACACAGGTTTGGTAATTTCACGAGAGAGAGAATCTCTGATGAAAATATTTAGCGAGAAATAGATCTGAAAGCACTTATTCGCTGAAAGAACGTTTTGTTTGTTTCGAAATGAAATCAGCCCGGCGATCTGTAGCGAACGAATATAAATTTTCAGAGAGGAAGCGAAGTCGTTTCGGCTGGCAATCGTTCCGCGATCAACAGTTGCTCCATTCGTTAGGTAAAGACAGTTCTACATCGGGCCTTTTCAACAATCCCGTGCTTCTGGACGCGGTTAGGCGCCGATTAATCACGTTTACGCGCGACGAAAAATAAATCAGCACTGCTTTTAAACCGCGGGACGCTGCCGCCGGCGCGAGGAGGAAAATATTTATAGAAAAGAAACCATTAGCTGGAAAAAAAAGTAGCCCGCGCGCCGGAGAGAAAGCTCTCTCGTTCATCCCTCGACGTGAATCTTTTGCTCCGTTAATTACTCCCATTCACCGACGCTGTTTATTCTAATTGAAATGTCTCGCTCGTCTCATCTTCGTATTTCTGTTCCGACGAAACCAGAGTCGACTGCCNGACGACGACGACGACGACGACGACGACGACGACGACGACGACGAGGGGGCGAGAAGAATCGTCGGAACGACGTTCCCGGTTACGAGTTTTCATTTCGGTTCGCGGATCGTCATCGGCGACGAAGGATCGAGTAGGATCGATCTACCGAGATGGGATCCTCTCTCCGGTGATCCGGAAATATTCGTGTCACATCTGCACCGGATGCATCATTTCTCTCGGGCCGAGACGCGGTTCTCTCGATCGTTTCGAAGATGAAGAACAATCACGATTTCAGCGACGAACAGGACACAGGTTTGGTAATTTCACGAGAGAGAGAATCTCTGATGAAAATATTTAGCGAGAAATAGATCTGAAAGCACTTATTCGCTGAAAGAACGTTTTGTTTGTTTCGAAATGAAATCAGCCCGGCGATCTGTAGCGAACGAATATAAATTTTCAGAGAGGAAGCGAAGTCGTTTCGGCTGGCAATCGTTCCGCGATCAACAGTTGCTCCATTCGTTAGGTAAAGACAGTTCTACATCGGGCCTTTTCAACAATCCCGTGCTTCTGGACGCGGTTAGGCGCCGATTAATCACGTTTACGCGCGACGAAAAATAAATCAGCACTGCTTTTAAACCGCGGGACGCTGCCGCCGGCGCGAGGAGGAAAATATTTATAGAAAAGAAACCATTAGCTGGAAAAAAAAGTAGCCCGCGCGCCGGAGAGAAAGCTCTCTCGTTCATCCCTCGACGTGAATCTTTTGCTCCGTTAATTACTCCCATTCACCGACGCTGTTTATTCTAATTGAAATGTCTCGCTCGTCTCATCTTCGTATTTCTGTTCCGACGAAACCAGAGTCGACTGCCCCGGTGCATCAGAAGTAATAATCGCATAGTTCTCGACGTAATACCGCCTGGTAAGAGTGCTCTGGACGCGTAAAACTGGCCTGCGAAGAGGAGGAAATATTAGCGGAGGAGAAATAAAGGGAAACCAACAGCGCGGAGCGTTAAAGCGTTTTATACGATGGAACACCATAAAAATGAAATCGCACGGCTCTGACGAATACTTCCAAGAATATAGGGAACGATGCTGCGGACATCTCCTAAAGGCAAAAGGTATGAAGTATAATCCGTACAAGTGCGGTTGACGTTCGCCGACCTACATAGCTTCGGGTTGATCCGTTCGAACACGGTCGATACTTAATAGAATACCGTTTAGGATCAAGGAAACGATGCAATCGAACAATTCACAGCCGTATACTCACGATTGTACGAATCCTTACATAAAAACAATCACAATCATTGAAATATGAAAAGTTGCTAGATATTAATAAAACACAACAAAATTTTAAATTCGTTTTTTCGCAGGATGAACAAAATACAAAAACAGTTTCTTCGGCAATCTCTGTCTCCAAAATGAAATACAAAACTAATCCAAAGTCTCTCGTCGTCCTTTCTATTTTTCAGATCGGAAAAGTCGACTCCGAGAGAAGGGAAAGATGGAGCGGAAGAGGAAAAGCCACTTGGAAAGCGAGGCGATTCATCTTCCTCCGACTATCGGCTCATTAATCGACTAGGGTAGTAAAGATTAATTCACGGTCTCTGCTTCGGTGCTGGAACGAATTGCTTGGAATTACCGGGTATTATTGATTCTCAGTGGTCGGCCGATTGGCCAAGCGTACCTGCTCATTATAGAGATTTAAACGAGCTCCTTTTTTACTTCGCCCTAAGGAAATTACAGTTTCATTTGCATTTATGAAATTACATAGTCGGTATAAGTGTCAATATCAATTTTATTGCAGGTCCCGTAATATCGGTTGTTCTCACGTACTCGAGTTATTTCGTCGACAAACCAAAGGAACATCGCGTGACCAATAGAATGATTTGACCAACGCGCTCGACCAATCAAGAAACACCAAATTTTTGATATCGCATCGCTCCTTGCCGGAGTCGCGAGCTTTAATCCTGACAGTGATGTCTTCCAAGATGAATATGTACCGCGTTGTACCGGAAGTCTTATATTAGATTCCAGACGAAGACCGTTCTAGTTCTCGTTTTAATTTTTAGAAATATATCGCGTCTCCTTCAAATTTTATTTCTTCTTTTATTGTTGGCCGTGTCTAAAATACCAGACAGGGGCTTTAACGTCGTCGTGAATCATTTAAGAATTGATCATTGCAGAATCGTTAACAGCTACTTGGGAGAAATAGAACGAGGATTATTATATCGCGACGTAATTTACGACTCGTAACTGATTTTAATTTTCGTTGTAAAAATACCCGGTAAATAACTAACGACCCGTGAATAATAATAAAGTGGAAGCAGCGAGAATCAAACCTCGGGAAACAGAAATAGTCTCGCTTAGTAGTATGCACCGGAGCAAGTCAGACAAACGATGTAAACGGAAACTGCGTCCAACTTGACCCGAAGAATACTTTCGGACCGGAATCCAGGCCAGAAGAAAAAAATCGTCCGTTTTTCCCGGTTTTCGCGCGACGTCAAACTGCATACGTCACTTGCCTTTTTTATTCTTTCGTTCCCGGATCCTCTGACCCGGCGACACGGCGATGTAAACAACGCGGGATATTAGAATAAATTACTGGCCGCGACGATAATAGCGACGCCACTATTTGGAGCACCGTGGCCAAATAAAAATTAATAACGATGCCCGGCGCTCGGTAAATTGTTGTTTTGAAACTCGAGACAAACGAGAACGATCTAAAAAAGGGAGGGAGTTCAGGATATTTGAATACGTCGCCGGCTCCCGGCTGGCCACGTGGTAATTAACGGATGCTCGACGTATAAAGTACGTTTCAAGTACAATTAAATTGATATCGTGCCCGGAGATTTGGGATTACAATCAGCGTTAACGATCCAAGTGTGCGGCACGTTTACCTTTCAAACTTTCAAGGAAACAGCTCGAGGGACCTCGGTGTACGAAAACCCGAGCGAACGGAACACACGCAAAAAGAGAGTTTATGAGAAACGTGATTTCCCGTACATTAGACTTCGACGTTACCAAAATATGGCATGGAGCGTGTCCATGCGAGTGCTCGCAAATAAAAGGCAAACTTGAGGCGAACGCGTTCGCCAAATCTAGACTCTGATTTACGATATAATCGGGACTTAATACTTACAGTTTCGTTAAGTTAACAGCTGAGGGAAGTGCGAGGACGTTGAGGGGCTCCAGGATGGAGAGGAAGCCAGCCCCGCGGCAAGAGAGTTCACGTTTGTCCACGGTGATGTTGCACAGTTCCAGGAGGCCGGTGGATCCCGGTTGCTCCTCGGCAGCGGAGTGGATCCGGCAGAGGAACATCGTCAGGACGGCAGCAGCGAGTCGAATGGTACCACGGCAGGACCTTGTGTACATGCCGGCCAGATTACTGAGGGGGCTTCCCTTCCTGAGTCGCCGCGCCCAGGACACGTTTCACTTTACCGCATTGTATTCGGTGGACGCACGTTTCGGTGGCCGGGTCACGCACGGGTGACCGAACGTACCAGCTGAGGACATGCAGAACGAAACGAACCCGGCGTGTTTAGAGAAGAATCGAGGAGCTTCCAAGCTCTACACAACGCACAATTCGAACGATACGTGCACCGCGGCGCGAATTCACCGACTGACAGCGCGGCCGCGGTGCTGGTTCCGTCGTTCCGTGTCCTTCCTCCTACACCTACACCTGCACGCGATATGTACAGCTAGTAACAACGAAACTGAGCCAGCTATGTGCATGCGTTAGTTTCCCCTAGGGGACAAAATTCAAAACGAATTTTAATAAGTGTACGTCTTATCTTTTCAATGCTCGATCAGGCATTTACAGGATTGTGGTCGATACTGTTTGACACGTCAAAATAAAAACAATTTTAACCTAAGTTTGGATAAATATTTACTGATGTAATTTTATTTTGAAATTGAATGTAAGGGGAATGTGNATGTGGAATAAAGATGAAACTATACATGAATCTTGTGATGTTGAAAGTACAAGGAAGTGGAATGCTTTAGAATAAAATGTATATTTTGTACACGAGCATTCCTTGATGTCATAAATATTGCCAAATTTATGTAAATTCAAATAATAGTAATATTACTCGTTCGAGCAATATATAGTTTTTCAAATGATAATACTTTAGTACCACTAAGCAGGTAGTTGTAATTTCTTGCCTTTCAGTACTTTGGTAATGTAGAGGTAGAAAAAGTCACAATAGAGAACTGTTTGTACTATACCAGCCACTATAACAATTAGATCGTAATAATTTTCTCCGTAGTAACGATAAATCCAATTTAATAAATATAAGCCTCTGTAAGACCCTAAAGCAAAAAGATAATGGCTGGTGATGCTCTCTGCTTCTCCTGTCTTTGAAACCAAAAATAACTGCGGCAATATTGCTACAGACTCCAAATAAATGCTAAATGTCCACAGAATCTCCACAATTGTGAATTCATGGTTGATTAACAATGCCAATACCAATGTAGGCAAAAGTAGAAACTCAATTCTAAAAGTAATAAATAATATCAGAAATAGATCTTTCACGATATATACGTAAATCTATGAATAAGATTTATGTTTAATTCATTTTACGTACCTAAATGTATCATGATTATGATCATATGTAGCTTTAAACTTTACATACATTAAATACACTATTGCAATGGAAGTAGCAATAAAAATAATTTTCATAAACATATTATATGCTGAAATATATGTTGTTATCAAGTCTAGGTAACGTGTTATATATACAATTGCAAATAGAATTTGTGATTTGCCACTGATACCTGTAAAATAATTGAAAAAATATATTGAGATCTTGACATATTAAATACAAAATGCCAAATATCAAGCAAGAACAATTATTTCGATACAGTATAAGGGATTTTAAATATAACAGAGATATCAATGACGTGAGCAATACATACCGGCACAGCTTCGCGTCTTCCATATTTTAAGAAGAAGGACAATAATTGCAAGAAGATGTGACAAATCACCTAAGAGCCGAAATACGTTCATATTCTCGGTGGTTGAAAAGCAATTTTTATATGAAAATCGAGAAATACTTCACACACCTAACTCACAAAGCATACAAAATATGACGTGGCTCTGGCTGTAATATCAGCAGATGGCCGACTGGGCCGACTAATCAACCTCCTAGCTAATGTTGTCGTGTTCAACACTCAACAAGCATTCATAAAGTATACGATGTATATGAACATTTATTTCTTTCAGATTGAGATATTTTAAAGATTAAAAATGTTGAAACTACAGATTGTTTCTGTTATGATAAAATGGTCAAAATAAATAAAATATATTTATTACATCAATTATCAAATAATCATACATTCATCATATAAAGTATGTTCATTACGAGCAAGGAATTCTAAAGATACATTCTTAACATTTCTCTAATGTGTTATCAAGTATTAATTATATAATGTCAGCCTTGTGAACTGCGTACAGTGCAGTTTGGCACGCCACGACGTTCTAATCTATAATATAAAGTTCTATGGTATAAAGCACATATAGCTCTGGAGCTCATCTTCATCGATGCAGTGTTGCTCTGCGATAGTTTGTGTGTTTGTCATCTACCAGCAATGACCAGCAACCAACTCTACCTCTATCTTGAATCCTGATCAATTCTGATTGCATCTTGCATCCTCCGGCTTTTCTCAGATCTTCCATTTCATGTACCGTTATCCGTCCTTCAGGTCCATGAAATACAATTTACCCGAATACACCCGAATATCATCTATATCTTAATACTAATTTAATTGGATGATACTTCACAAAGCAATACATAGCAATAAGTAACAAGTAATAAACAGTATTTTTTACATTCAATGAACTAGAANATCCAGAGATATAAAGCACTGAGTGCAGAAGAAGCCGAACAGGAGTTTAGCCGTAGGAATAAAGTAATGAATTATTTTTCACTGATGTTGCGTAAGAGGCTTAGAAATGATGAAGAAGGTGCAGATGACGAGGAGTTAATAGATGGTGGAAAAGGAAAGAAACCTACTAAAAAGGAGAAAGATTTAAAAATATCCGAAATGGATGAATGGATGGACACCGACGATGATGACTCGGGTAGTGACGAGGAAGAAGCTAAAAAGAGTTCTGAGGAAGAGGATAGTAAGAAAAAGAAGAAAGGCAAAGGTACATGCTATATTTAATACTTAAAAATTAGGTTCTGTAATACTTAAAAAGAAATTCCAATATTGTAGATTGAATTACGCCTGTATACAATTGTTCACGTTGTAGCATATAAATATAAAGATTTTATTAGTTGAGGTTGCGAAAAAGAAGAAGAAGAAGAAGAACGCTTCAGATGATGAAGCATTTGAAGAAAGCGATGATGGAGATGAAGAGGGAAGAGAATGTGATTATATTTCTGATTCTTCTGACTCTGAATCAGAACTAGAACAACAAAAGGAAATTAAGTCAGTTGCAGAAGAGGATGCTCTAAGAAAACTGCTTGCTTCTGATGAAGAAGACGAAGATGAAGAAGAGGCAGATAAAAAGGATGGTGATGAGGATAAAGAAGAAGATGATGAACATAAAGATAAGGATGACAAAGTAAGATAAACTTGTTCAAATTAACAATATATGCGTTCCAATCAAAATATTATTTGTCTTTTGACTCTTTCAGGATAAAGACAAGACCAATAAAGATGCAGATAAAAAGAAAGATAAGAAAAAGAAGAAAAAACAATCTAAGAAGAAAGATTCCAAGAAGCTTGCACCGGGAAAAGAATCTTCTAGCGATTTTTCTAGTGATTCTGATTCAGAATCCGATACAGTAAAAGAGAAAGATAACAAAAAATCTAATAGTGCGCATAGCTCAAGATCTGCAACGCCTACAGCTGGGATATCAGATTCTTTAAAGAGGAAGCAAGCGGGGTCGCCAGATATATCGCAAGCAAAGAAATTGAAATTGGACAACTTTAATTTAGTGCCAGTAACTTCTTATATTCCAGGAGCCAGGTATATTTCGTTAAATAATAATATATCGTATACGTTGTGTATGTAAACACGTAAGTAGAATTTCATTTATATAAAATAAATGTTTCTATTATGTTACAGTGAATCTGGTATAACGGAAGATGCAGTCAGACGTTATCTTATGCGTAAACCGATGACAACAACGGAATTATTGCAAAAGTTTAAGTCAAAGAAAACCGGTCTTACTTCTGAACAGTTAGTAAATGTAATGACACAGATACTGAAAAAAATCAATCCCACCAAACAAACAATAAAAAATAAAATGTATCTATCTATTAAAACCCAATCTAATTGATATTTGCTAATTTGTTTTTATAGCATAGCATAATTACTTTAACACTATGTAACATGTACATGTAATGCGTGAAAAAATACTTTGTACAGTGACAAACAGAAAAATAAATAAATAAATTAATTAAAATTTATTTTCATTACATAACGTATTCTTTCTTCCTTAATCCAATATAATATAGGTGTAAAATATTAGAAAGTTTAAATTCTATGCTTTGTTAGATATATGTGTGGTAAATTATAATAATTTTTATTGTATAAAATTTTTGCCAATATGAGTTAATTATATTGGTAAAAATCGAATGGTTAAAAAAAGTCAAGTCGTATTGATAAAGACTTGACTTTGAGTTTATCAATGATTTACTAAATTCTCCATTGACCTCGCTGACCTATGTAATATCAAGACAGTAATATATGTGCAAAATCATTTATAATACACGTTACCACGTTACATTGCAGTGCCTCTGCTGTTTTACATGTTATTAAATCAGTGAAATCTAAGTACTGTGTGTTTAGAGTTTTAAATGATTGCATAGAGAAATTATGAGGCTTTTACAATTATCCAAGTGCGAATTCAGCGTGAATTTGTTAATGATTCGTATCCATAAGCCTTCAACACGTTATATGAATGTAAGAGACAGGCAAGAATACGTAAATGCGTATTACTAACGATTAATAATAGTGTATGTATAAGGTTTAGCTAAATATTTTTACAGACCTTAAAAGGTAAAATAATAGCGATTAGAAGAGAGGATCAGTCAGTATGGGAAAGAAGAGCTCCCTTGGCACCTGCGAATGTTCGACAATTAATTAGAGCAGGGGTAAAAGTAATTGTGCAACCCAGTAATAGAAGAGCTTATCCTGCACAATCCTATCAAGCTGCTGGTGCTGTATTACAAGAGGACATTAGTTCTGCCTCTGTTATTTTCGGAGTGAAGCAAGTTCCTGTGGATCAACTTATATCCAATAAAACTTATTGTTTCTTCTCTCATACTATCAAGGCGCAAGAAACCAACATGCCTCTATTAGATGCTCTTCTTGAAAAGAATATACGTTTGTTAGATTATGAAAAATTAACGGACAATAATGGACAAAGAGTAGTCGCTTTTGGTAAATATGCTGGTGTAGCTGGCATGGTAAACATATTACATGGACTCGGACTGAGATTGCTTGCATTAGGACACCATACGCCGTTCATGGTAAGATAAATATATGCTAGTATTATTCTCTAATATCTAAATGAATGATAATGAGAATGATAAAACACTTTTTATACATCATCCTTCTTTAAAAACTACAGTTGCATATTAATTATAGTGTCCTCTCGGTCACTGTGAGTATAAGTGAAATACAAATGCTTATAAAGATATAAAGAAATTAACATTACAAAGAGATAGGAAAAGATTTTTGAAAGGAAGAAAAGTAAAGAAAAAAGAAACTTCCTGGAAAATATAAGTTATACTTTAAAGTTTAGAATAGATTGAAGGAGTCAATTCCGAGATTACCTTAATGTTAAACTAAGAATTATAAATAGTTTAATTGAATGATTTGAAGTCAATTAATTAGATCATTCGATTAAAAGCCGCTTAATCAAAAGCTCTGTGGTTTTGGCGTACTGAATAATTCATTATAACTTTACCGGCTAGGTTTCTGACTTCCGTTTCCGGTCCCAGGTTCTTGTGCGCTGAACGTTTTATATACGCAGGCGTAGAATCTATGCTGATGCTATTTGCTGGATCCATGCTTCGCATGTGTTCATGGTCATGTTGCACCTGTAGCCCCTACAGCCGGGGATGAGATATAGCAACTTTCGTAAAACTACAAGCTTGCTGTCCCTTACATCTGCAACAAAAAAGGTTGCGATGACGTACTGTCAACTCAGTTTTTTTCTTTTGAGCTATCCAATTATACATGGAATTCCAGTTGTCAAATTTTTCATAAAATATTCGCACAAAAATTGAAACATTAAGATTGTACCAATTATGTACAAATTAATTAAAATTAAAGATGTAAAGGGCAGCAACAACAACACCACTAATTTACGAGTATTACTGTCTCGCCCCCAGCTATACATACATATTTATGTGTTTCACCTGCGCGCGTGGATTTATCTTTGGCACTCTCTCGAGATAGATATAACTACACAAATATTTATTAACATGTCAAGAAGAAATAAATTCCCGAAATTTCAATTCATTCATTTCCTTCCCTCTGTTCCTAAAAATTTCAATTCATCATGTTGAATTGGTCATACCGTACTTTATCCAACGTATGCATTTACCCTAAGGGCTTATTGAGTATTCATTGAGAGAATGCTGTACTATATCTATATGAAAATTAGTTTAAAATGGAATTATAATATATTCAAGATAAAAGGATTAAATCATAATTCTTTATTTCAATCAGCACATTGGACCAGCGCACAATTATAGAGACTCCGCTATGGCACGGCAAGCTATACGTGATGTAGGATATGAAATAGCGTTAGGTGCCATGCCAAAATCAATCGGACCCTTGACATTCATTTTCACTGGTAGCGGAAATGTTAGTCAAGGCGGTCAAGAAGTTTTTCAAGAGCTTCCGCATGAATACGTACCACCTGAAATGCTAAAGAAAGTTGCCGAACACGGCGGTAAATTTTATGTTTATTTATTATAAACCTATGGAATATTCAATTTGTTATTCTTATTGTTCGTTGCTTAAGACAATTTTCTGCGTGCCATAATTTTAACCCAAGGATCCGAAAGTTCGATATAAATTATAAGTCTCTAGAGCATTGCACATAGTTAAAAAATTGTTTTCGTATTTTCTTTTTCACTTCATTCTTTGAAAAGTTTAAGTGCTCTCTTTGCACTGAATGTTTTGAATCCTGGATATGCATATGTATAGTATTCCCTTGCGTCTTATATGATAGCATTTTACATTTCGAAGTAAAACGTATTTAAATGAAAAAAGATTATTGTATTTGGTTGAGAACTCCTTGTCAGAGATATTTCTTAAATAAAGGGGAAGAATTTGTTTTGATTTGAGGTCGTGAACCCTGAATGAGATTCGATTTTCTTATCGACATTCTTTTAAAACGTCATACAAACTTTCGGTTTTTACAATCTTGCCAGACTTCATTAATCTTGTCACAGTTTGTATTTAACGGATATTTTCGTTAATGTTTCAATGAAAATTTAAATTAACAAAAACTTGTTTTAGATATAACAAAAATATACGGATGCGAGGTAAGACGAAGGCATCATCTAGAAAGAAAAGAAGGAGGTGGTTTTGATTCTGACGAGTGTGACAAGCATCCTGAGAGATACCTTTCCACTTTCAGCAAAAAAATTGCACCGTATGCATCAGTGATAATTAATGGAATATATTGGGCTGTTGATTCGCCTAAATTATTAACAATACCAGACGCAAAATATTTATTAAGGCCAGCTTACACTCCTTGGCTATCAGTAAGCGTCGGTGCTCCTGCTCTACCTCACAGGATGTTAGCGATTTGTGACATATCAGCAGATCCTGGAGGTAGCATCGAGTAAGATTCAAATCGTTATGCAAAAATAATAATTTAAATAATTCCACAGCTACGTGAGAATTTTAACAGATTTACCAACAATATCCGTGGAGATATTTTTACGACAAACGATTGCTTAGACTATAGCTATATAAAAATATTAATAAAAATTAACATTAATTTGAATCCTTTTTTCACAATTCCGATAGGTTCATGAATGAATGCACAACAATTGACACACCATTCTGTTTATATGATGCCGACCGTAACAAGGATACTAAGTCTTTTAAAGGCCCCGGAGTGTTAGTTTGTTCAATTGACAATATGCCAACTCAATTACCGAAAGAATCCACTGATTTCTTTGGCAATCTTTTATATCCTTATGCGTTGGATATTATTCGCTCGGATGCAAAACTGTCACTGGAAGAACATAATTTTAGTCCAGCAGTACACGGTGCAATAATAGTATCGAACGGTCGGTTAACTCCTAATTTCGAATATATTCAAGAGTTGAGACTACTAAATCAGCGCTGTAAACACAAAGCAGATAATCGAGAACCACAAAGTAAAACGGTACGAAATCGTCCAAGTCTTTTTTTGAATTTGAGCATCTCTTTTTAAATTTAATCATTCTCTGATTAAGAGACAAAATTTGGGACATCTCCTGAGACGCATCTTGCTATGCCATGCGTTAGACAATTTTGATAACACGATTATTTATGTATATTTCTTTCGTAAATAGGTCGTCGTCTTAGGTGCAGGACATGTCTCCGCTCCTTTGGTTGAATATTTACACAGAGACACTAATATACATTTAATTGTTGCATCCCAATTTAAAGAAGAGGCAGACGTGTTAGCCAATAAATTTCCTGGTGTAGAGCCAGTTTTACTAGATGTAATCGAACGACCTGATACGTTACATGACATTGTAGAATCTGCCGATGTGGTAGTTTCGCTGTTACCTTACTCTCTACATCACGTAATTGCAAATGTATGCATAAATGCTAAAACACACTTAGTAACTGCAAGTTATACGAATGAAGACGTTAAAGCTTTGCACGAAGAGTAAGTATTAATTTTCTGTTTAATTTAAGAAGTGTTCCGTAATATGTTTTACGCGCGCGTTAATATGTACACGTCTAATTTATTCTTTATTACTAATTTATCATATATTTATTACACTATTTTTGTATAAACAAATTATGATTATTACAACCAAGTATATGATTAACTGCTGATTTTAATATTATTAGAGCAAAAGCAGCAGAAGTGACTATACTTAATGAGGTAGGATTAGATCCCGGCATAGACCACTTATTGGCTTTAGAATGTTTCGATAATGTTAAGCAAGCTGGTGGGAAAATTGAGTCTTTCATATCTTGGTGCGGCGGTTTACCTGCGCCAGAATGTTCTTCTAATCCTTTACGATACAAGTTTAGCTGGTCACCACGCGGTGTGCTATTAAATACTTTGGCATCAGCGAAATACTATCACGACCAACAAGTAAGTTCATGAATAAACTGATTAATTTATAATTATGAATAATTTGGTCACGCAAATTGGTATTTATTTTTTATGTATGTATGTTTTTAATTGCATTTTGCATGAGCCATAAAAAATCGCTCTATCTGTTGAATGGATTTTTAAAAAAGTTTGCTGCCTTGTACACTATGGAATATCTATATTGCTGGGTCTTATGTATCTCATAATCCCATGTTTGGTTCTTAACAGTGAATACACGTAAATCTGTAGAACATTCACAGACGCGTAAGAATCGAACGGCAATCATTTTTTTACATAGGATTTACGACGCGTACAAGTCATCCATTTAGGCGAGTAGATCGGTGAGAATAGGACAAAAGCTCAATACTTTCGGTTTATAATTAACTGTCATACGTACATATATTATTATCATGTCCTGTTGACTAGGAATTGTTCTTTATTTTATTTTTGAGGATTCTTATACTT